CCACCCTGCCCTGAAAATCCAATGCACATGTTCTCATCTCAGATTTGTCTTTGACTCACGTTAGATCAACAGCACAGGAGAAAGCAAAACCCAGATTTAGACACAGCTGGAGTGACACCAGAAATAAAACTGCTAGGGCTGCCTAGTTGGATATGAGGAAACCCCAAGCCAGCTGTGCCGAGAGCAGCCCCAATTTCTTCTCGCTCTCCCTCTTGCTGAAAACACAACCAGAACAGAAACACTAGCAGAATTAGTAGGCTATTGGGAAACACACTGAAAAGAAAAACAAAAACAAAATAAATATATGGGGGGAAATCAAAGCCTTTAATTAACCTGTGGATCTCTAACCAGTTAAACAGTAGAGTAAGATTTCAGGCAGAATACGTGGTATAACCATTTAAGTAGCGATGCCACCACTGAAAAGATGCAGTTGCACCAGGGAACCAAGAGGAAGGGTTTCTGTTATTGGTTTGAATCAATGCCACTGTTTCCTTTTCTACAATACAGTGAGGTTGTCATCCCCTCTTCCTACATGGGAGAGAGAGGAGCCTGAAGAGGTGCAGCAAGTAAAAATCCCACAAATGTCCTCAAAGCACTGCTGTCCCTCATAAGGCTGGAGAGCGGTCCAAGGCCAGTGCCAGCCCACTCGGCTCCTGCAGGTCCAAGGGGTTTCTGGGAGTCTTCTCAACAGCCAGGTTTGGGTGGCTAATGATTACCTCTATGTTAGACAGATTCTCCTCCCGCACTTCCAATCGGCACCACTGAGCATAAGGGTCCCCCACAGGCAAGTCACTGGCGTAGCAGATCGAGGACACAGAGACACCGCATGGTCCTCTGAAGTGAGGATCAAGAGGATCCAGTTCTGTCCACACCTCTCCAGTGGAACAGTTCTACAGGTGGCTACCAAATACTGACACCCAATACCACAAGGCCCAAATACCACAAGTGATGGCTGAGAGTACCACCAAGCTGGAATGACATCTTCAGTAGCCATGTCACGACAGCGAGGCCAGTTCATACCTTCCTTTCCAAGCCACAGTGTAAAAACAACATGAGAAAATCTGGCGTCTTCTATCCTTTCATTCAGAAAATTCTCCAGACCCTATGATGGGACTTCCTGACACGCACTCCATCACGCACAGGTCATCAACGTTATTTTAAGTCACCTGAATCAAACACCCCATCTCTATTTCCAGCTGCCACAAAGCAACACAACACATGTTGGAAAGGTCTGATCCTCAGGCCTTCCTCTCCCCCAAAGGGCATCTGACACTTCTCACAAGATACACAGCTTTAAAATTAGAGCTGGAAAAGACCACAGTGACCCTCATAGGGCTGAAGCTGCCCCACAGCAGAAATCAGAACATTCCTACAACCAACAATTAAACAACCGAAAGCTTCCCAAACATCCCCTTCTTTCTCTGGTTTGCTGTTGTTGCATTAATCATCCTGACACCTTTTTAATTATAATCGCAAACTCGAAGCCATGACTTGCAATGTTATAAATACTGATTTTCCATTTCAAGCAGGCATTGACTGGTTTCTGTTTTGATAGGAAGGGGCTGTTTGAAGCCTCCTAAAATGTTGCAACTCATCTGTTGAAACAGACGAGACATTAACAGACACGTTTGCTGTTTCCATTTAACCTGCTGGAATGTTTATGCCTAAGTCTACTTTTTCTCAAGCTTTGAAAGCATAAGGCGTATTTTCTAAAGCGGAAGAAATCAATCAATACATATTATATATTCATATATAATAGATGTTATATAATACACACATATAGCAATATATATTATTATATAATACACATTTACTATATATTTCTGAAGTCAGGTTATTTCTAAAACTGTCGCAGGCTGTAATTTAAACTTAGAAAGCACATCTCTTCAACAGCAAGGCAACTTGTCAGGAAACAATCCTTATTTTACCTATTGGCCTTGTGAAGATGATAATACCACTTTAGCTGACAAAGCCTGTGTTTGTCTGACAATTCCAATTAATTACTGAGACGCAACAGAGATGGGACCAGCCATCCAGATGCTTTTCAGAAAGAGATAAAAGGGGGGGGGGGCGGAGTAAAGGAGGTTTGCCTTTTGGGCATCTGCTCCCGTGTTTTTTAAATGTTATGGCGGGCAAGAAAGCCGGATCACTAAGTTATTTTACCTGCACTTAACTTTCTACTCTCCTCTCCTTTCCCTCACCGCTGGGAGACGGTGGAAGACAAGGGAGATGAACATCTCACAAGACAGAAGCTCTAATCTGTTGCCAAGGAGGCGACGGTTAGAAAGGGCAGGGGTGCAGGATGTAAAAACTCTTAGGGCACCGACTGTCGTGCAGACCTTGATGCTCCTGATGCCAAAGCAACCCAGGGTTGCTGGAGATGGGGAACATCCTCAGTCTTTTCTAGCAAGCCAAAACTCGCCAGCATCATCTTTTTAACTGTTCCCTGTTCATTTTGCTCTAACCTGAAAATACTAAAGTCGGATTCCAGAGACGCAAATACGTTTGAGGGCGATTTTGAGAGATTTCAGGAGATCTCAAAGCCCTTCAGTCAATCTAGCTATCCTGCTTCATGCCTTAGCGTCCCCAACGCAGCAGCGCACAGCCCCACAAGAGCCCGGGCTGGGAAACACCCCGCGGGCACCTGGGCTGGGGATTCCCAGGCGTGGAGCTAGGTAGCTTCAGAAAGCACCTCCCTGGGTGAGGAGCCTGAGGCAGGCAGGGCAGTGTGACACCAGCTCCCCTAACCCTGAAATACAGTGATCCCTGGCCAGCCTCCAGTCCTCTCCGCGCTCCCCCGAGCAGGCCCGCCAGGGTCCGCAGAGCCCTCGTGGGGCGAAGGGTTCTCGGGGAGGTGCCTGGATATCGAAGGGCGTGGGAAGCCGCAGCTTTCCTCTGGGTACTTCCCCACCCATCTATCCCCTGCGCCAAGCCCAGAGTCCTACCTGTACCACTCCAGCCCCTTTTCGTAGTTCCTGTCGAAGAAGTGTGGCTCTATGCCCACGGCCCGCAGGCCCGCACGTCCGGGTGGACTCGGATCGCCTCCAGCAGCTCGCGGGTGCCTCCTTTCTTGACCCCGATGACGAGCGCCTGTGGCAGCTTCTTCTCCCCATAGTCGGGGATGCTGACGGGACGCCGCGACTCTCGATGCTCACGTTGGTCTGCTCTCAGGCCTGCGAGCTGCTCGTCGGTGATGCTGGTTTCCTGCGCTTCACACGTCAGCAGCGCGCTCGGCGCAGTGATCATCTCGCCAGGGGCCAGCAGGGTCCGGAACCAGGTGTCCTGAGCGCCCCCGTCGCCGATTGCCAACAAACAGCCGTCGGCCCCGGGGTCAGCGGGCTGCTCGGAGGACTCCGGAGGCTCCCAGCGGCTCGCGTTGTCCGGCGTCGGCGCGGGAGGCTGCGAGGGGGGTGCCGAGGCGCACGGGGGGCGGCAGCAGAGAGGGTGGCGGCGGGCTCGGCGGGGGCTCGGCGGCGGCGCGCGGCGGCTCCTGCAGCGCCAGGGTGAATTGCAGGGAGCCCGAGCCGCCCAGGAGGCTGTAGCACAGGTAGGTGACGGACAGGGACAAGGTGCACAGAAAAAGCAACTTGCTCGCCGGCGGCCACTTAGCAGAGGCGCCGGGCGGCAGCGGCGCGGTGAGAGTTGGAGGCGGAGGCGGAGGCGGAGGTGGTGCGGGCCACTGGGCCACCGCGGCTCCCGGCTCGCGGCAGCGGCGGCAGCCCCCGGCGCTGCCCGGACATAGTT